CTCACACATGAAATGGAAAAATATTTTGATGTTGGAAGAAGATAAAGCAAATAATATTAAGAAATTAGTAAAAATTGTAATTTTTCAAAAAATATATTATAATGGCAAGAAATTTTTCGGTCCCATTAAATCGTATACATTTTCTACCACTAGAAACTTTTTCAGTAAGTGCTAAGGAAAATAATGTAGCAGAAAAAAGCAAAATCTTAACCTGGCAACAAAACGAGTAACCAGTGAGGGGAAAGTAAGGCAAAGATCGGAGATTGAAAATAAGGGTAAAAAAATTTATAGGAGGCGCAAAAAAACCGTGAAAGTGATGAAAAAATCCAAGTTTGAAAACCGTCACGCGAAATTTTGATGAGCTAAAACTTCAAAAATCCCAAAAAAAAAATCCCAATGCCTCAAAAAATTAATGCTTACGCATCGGGCTGTTGTCCGCGTTCAATCAAGTACCATGCAAAAACGCATAGCTTTTTTGCGTCATATCCACTTTCGGCCATTTCGGCCCATATCTCCGTTGATCTGTCCGCTTTTCCAACGTAAAGCAATAAACGAGAGCATACTGCAAAGAATTATAAGAAATTTGAAAATTTTAGATGATCTTTCGCGCGCAAAAACAAAACTTTATCCAAAATTTTTTGAAAGTTTTTTTTTTCCTGTTCTTTTGTAAATGAACTTTAAGCGTTCATTCATTCAGATGTTTTTTAAAAAAAATTTTTTTTAAATGAAAAAAAGTTTTTCAAAGTTCGGACCTACAAAACAATAAATCCCGAATTAAGCCAATTTTTTTTTCTGGTTTTATAAAGTCAATTTTCTACAAACATATAAAACTACTCGTTTTTGACGAGAAGAAACGCGATGATGAAACAACATTTGGTCAAAGTATTGGTTTCTTTGCATCGCTTTTGCATATATGGTTTCCTTTTTAGTCAGCCTTTTTGTTTTTTTTTTTTTTTATTTTTAATCAATTAAAATCAGTTATAATCACTGATGAAGATCTGTATAACAAACAAAGCAGACATAAAAACTTGCCGATATTTCCGATTACAAGAAAACTATAGTAAATGAGTTTTTTTTTCTCTTTCTAAAAGTCATTCATTGTCTTTTTTCTGGTTTTTACGTATTTTCCTTACAAATTTACACCGAGAAAAACAAAATTACCCCCAGAAAACCACTGTGAGGACTTTATGTTAATGAAATTATTAAGATAATTACAGATATTATGCCAAGCACATTTTCAGTTAATAAAAAGCTGGCTTTCATATATCCATCCTTATATATATATATGTTTGTATTTATGTATGTGTGTATGTATGCATGTATGTAGTACTCATGTGTATATATATATGTGTGTGTATGTATGTACGTGTGTATGTGTGTATGTATGTATGCATGTATGTACGCGTGTGTGTATGTATGTATGTACATGTATATATCCCAAAAGTATGAAGGTATATATATCCTCATATTTACGAATATGGATCACTATTAAAAATATGTAGATTATTTTGTGCTATTACCTTTTAATATTTCCACATCCCTACATTTACAAATATTCTAAAATCGCAATCGTTGCACCGGTAAAGTTTAATTGAAGTTTTGAAGCAAAACTTTATAGCGGATTAAAAAACCCCTTATCCTATTTTACGTTCAACAATCCCTGAATTTTTTATATCTACGTATTTTTATTTACCGCATCCACCTTTCCTTTTTTAATTCATTTACCTTCTAATTCATTCATTTATTCATTTTTAATTCGCTTATTTATCTTTTTCTTTTTAACCCAAAAAAAAACACTGATTATCTACAACTTCTGCATTTTCTTTTTTTTTTTTTAATTCATTAATATAACAATCATTAATCTATCACAGAAACGCTCAAAAAAAAAATCTCAAGAAACGCTGAAAAAAAATCTGAGATTTTTCAGAAGTAAGGAAACTCTTCCAAATTTTGCAAGCTGAAAGTATGTAATTGTTTACTTACATTCGGCGAGACGTGCTGAGTAATCAAGTGCCTGGAGAATCGAAAATTGCACTGCATTTGAGAAAGCGCCAAAATCGGAGAAATTCTCCTCGAAGCTACAATTTGATTTAAAAAAAAATAAATTTAAATGTACTAATTTTTGGATCACAGAAGGTTATTCCCAATCTATTTTGCTCTCCAATTAACTGAACACTTACTTAATACTTCAATTAACTATCTCACTGAGCTCATATCCAGCTCCCGAGGCATGCGTGGTACCCACGTACGGTCATACAAAAGTTTTTTTCGGGTAAGTTGATAATTAGGGAACCTGAGAAGCTAGAAGACTGGAATTTTGAAGGGATTTTTCCTGGCAGTCCTACACCTATAGTTGATAATTTAATTATCAAATCACGCACTTAGTCTGGTACTTTTGTCCTGTCCTGAAGCTATAACTAGCTCTACGTTTCCTCCCCAAAGAGAAATACCTGGCAAGATTTTAATGGTTTCGAAATGTCACTGGTGTGTGTTAAGCATCATAACCCCGGCAAAAACGGGGATATTCCTAGACTCCGAAGAAGTACCAGGCAAAGAAGAGCGCATTTTTTATCGTAAAAAATACCTATAATTATCGTAAAAAAAAATAGCATACCATGCGTTGGCCCATTGTTGGCTTAAATCACCGAATACACTGTCTATATCCTCCAGCGCTTCCCACAGCCTATTTTTTTCTTCCATCGAAACTGAAAAAAAAAATTCAAATTCTCTTGGCTAATCAGAGCTTGCCGATAAGAAACGCTGTTATAAAGACATGTATGCAATTTTTCAAATATGTCTATTTTACATGTATTACCCGTGATCAACACTGAACACACATATTCTGCATGCCAAAAATCAAAATCCTCTCCGTACTCGTCCCAAGTGAAAGGCGAAGGTATTCGAGAAATAGCCCGAACGGTAGCAAATGCCAACAAATGCAACTGTCCGCTGGGAAGGCTGGTATCCGGGAAAAATTCACAAAAAGCCGGCTAACGCTGAACCTGGAACAAAAGAACCAATGGTGTAGCAGTAACACATTGTGTCCAGACGTGAACAAACGGAAATAAAAGAAAGGGGTATCTTGTCTTGGAACGCAGATACACAGTAGATGTGCTGCCAGGCTGAACCTGGAACAAAAGAACCGGTGGTGTAGTGGTAACACATTGCGTCCGGACGTGAAGAGGTGTGGTTCGATTCCCTCCTGGGTCAGAACAATTTTTGAAAAAGGGCTGTCCGCTGAGGCTAGCCGCCGATAACTCCCATTTTCGAGGTTGCTTACAAGCAAGCTGATAACGCTAACGGTATTGTAATCTATCTCAAACCTACTACTTATATCTTACAAGAAGTATCGATGCACGGGTGCCAAAAAAAATTGCAAATTTACACATTACCTTTCGTACATTAAAATATGACGTAAATGAAATTAGTCGTTTCGATCAGTGTGATCAGCAAGTGTTTCGTAGTGTCCTGAAAAACGCATGTTATTATGCCACAGAAACTCCTCGTGCATAACGGACGAAGCCATATAAACACTGTCGCACTGATACAAACAACCGTCGTACTGATAATGTCCAGCTGTGGATGCTGAGATGGGAATTTATGCGAATCGAAACATTCCTGTTCTGTTAAATAATTTTTATAATTTATATGTGAAAAAAATTCTTACACTTTATATATACATATGTAAGATAGAAAGTTACAATAGAAAACAATGGGAAAAAAAAAACAAAAAAAAGGAAGGTGAGAAATAAAAATTAGGAAATTTGTAAAATTATTATAATGGTAAGAAATGTTTCGGTCCATTAAGTCGAATACATTTTTATATATGCATGTATATATATCGTTATATAATTACTATATTTAATATTAAATGCTGCATTACCTACTAGATTCTCCGTTTTGCAAATTAGTTACATGATTATTCAAAACATGGCGCACAGAAAGAGACTGTACTGATGACTTTCGCTCCTATCCGCATGCATAGTTCGGTCTATGTATACAGCTAGAGGATGAAACACACCAACTGCATAATAAAATGTCTTCATATACATAAGTTTTACGTGAAATCCTTCCATTCTTCTATTACATAGAATTATAAATGCTAGTCAAGCACAGTAAGATATCAGCTAACAGCAAAGTATACTTCTAAAAAATCAAGAAATGAAAGCTACAATATCTACAAAGAAATAACAAATTAGTTGAGATAAGGACGTTTCGGTCCACTACGCTGCACATATCTTAACGATTTAGCATC